CCCCAAAACCCCAAAACCCCAAAACCCCTGAGACAAGGTGTTTTATTGAAGATGTTTTTAAATGGCGAATCAGGTGTCGGAAAAAATTGAGTTAGGTAGTAATTAGGAGTGCTGTCTAAGAATCAAAGTTTTTGGGCTAATGAGGTGCTTTGTGTCAAGCCTCTTTAGAGTGGCCTCTTGGACCTTATTGGCTGAAAAGTCACTGTATTTCTTAGAAAGTCAGTAATCATTAGAGCCGATTTTTTCTTTAAATTTATTCATATACATCTCTGTCTTAGAGACAATTTTCTGCCTCCTTTCCTTACTGAAAACTCACAGAATTGTGCCTTTCTGAATTTTAGATTTTAGCGGAGCCAAGTTCTAAAAGGGTGCTCTAGAAAATATACCTTAACCTTCCCTTGATATTTCTTGACAAAATCTTTATACTTTTTCATCCCAGATTCTAAAAATCATACATAAAAATACTTGAGCTATCAACCAAATGAGGTTGGCTAGGCTTTATGTTCTTGGATGAGTAAATCCTCTCATAAATGCTTTTAGTTGATAATTTCACACCCTCAATATGATTTGATATCTTAAAGCTTTTGTTGTTCTCCTTTCTGCTTAGCAAATTCAGGATCTTCTTTCCCTTCACTGTTTTCTTCCTCTTGAGCTGCTCCATTCGTGCTTCTTCAGCTGTATTGTTTTTGGTTCGGAATTGGTTGACCACTTCTTGGGCAAACTTAAGTTCGTTCTTGATGTCTTAAAATTAAGACCTAAAATTACGAGTCTTCTTATTAATTAACTTGTTGTTTTCCAGTATAATCAACTTGGACTTCTTAGGTTTAGGCCTTGAAGAGCCATTGTTGTCAGTACTATTTTCCTGTTTTTCCTTATCTAAATGATGTGACCAGGATTACATACATTTAAGGTATGCTTGATAAGCATGTTTGAGTAGCCATTTCTTCCAACAATTTTTTACTTCCAAATACTGCATGTAATTCTTTTGGGAGAGCTGGTATTTCTTAATAACCTGGACTCTTAAGGGGTTAACAGAATTCAAAGATAGCTTGTTCTTAATAGCATCTAGCTGCATTTTCTCCTTGCTGCATTTCCGCTTACGTATTAAAGATATTGGGTTTAAAGCGGTGAGCCCTAAATATATGTTTATATAACAAGTCACCAATACCTGCAAGAGTGTGTAAATTCTTAAACGAGTCTAATTTACTTCTTGGGCTACTAGCCAGTTCTTCCTTATTTCTTCTCTACAGTTTAGTTAACATATCTTACTCTTCTTCGGGCTATAGCTCATTCTTGTTGGGAAGTTTATTCACTCGAAAGCCACTATTCCTCTTTTGGATGAAATTAGTTAGACCTCTGGCTCTTTTTTTTCGACGAAATAGTTTGTCATCAGAGTTCTTCGAAATTGGGATTTTAAGACGACCCACAGTTCCTCTCTATAAGGGCACGGTAAAATTAGATATTAGAATCATTAAGGAATGATTTTGATGCTCTTTGAAAGATAAATTCTGGTATAATTATTCTTGGTCAACATTAATTCCAAAATTTTCTTATTTCTAATATGAATTGGTGTGCTTATTAAATATAGCTTCAGAAGAAGCTCCAGCTTACCTGAATTATTACATTCTTCTGAGGTTTGGGCTCAGATGAGTCTTGTAATGAGCTAGACATACTCTCAAAAGAAATATTTTCACTTATACTTCTGCTCCGGCTTAATTTATTCTCCATTTTGTCCAGGGAAATTACTTTTGTACTGAAGTTAATTTTGCGAATGATTTGTCTCATCATCTACAAAAGTTATTAAAATTATGCTTAAGGACTAAAAATACACTCCTTGATTTGTTCACCCACTTTTTATGTCAAAAGAAAAAAGTGATTTGGTGAAGAGTAGCTTACTTTACCTTTATCAGATTTAAGATAGATTTAATAATATGCAATCTGTAATTATTTATTAGGGGTTTTGGGGTTTTGGGGTTTTGGGGTTTTGGG